TAAAAACAACTACTACTACCATTTTTTTCCAAAAACGAAACCTAAATACAGCTTAATAGAGGAGTTTTCCTTCCAGAGCTGGGTGGACAGGTTTGATTGGACTACAATTCCCATCCGCAAAGGCTGCCTGTTGCAGTTGTAGCCCCACACTGGACATTCCCAAGCTCCGCCTTCTTTCCGGTCCCCGGTCTAATGTTAGAGGGTGGTGGGTGAGCAAGCGGCAGCCCACTGCTGGATTGCAACTCCCATCATCCCCAAATAGGGGGCCTCCAAACATCATTTAACTACAACTCCCATCATCCGTAGCCACTTCGGCCAATGAAAGGGGATGATGGGAGCGATAGTCCGCGAAAGTGCCGGCCTTGAGAAAGGCACTCTGCCCATGCTCAGGAATCCTTTCTCTCCCCCCGACTCTCTGCTCCCGTCTTCTTGCTTACCTGCTATCCAGGCTGCGCTCTGTTCTAAACCCCGCCCATTGCCTACCCATTGGCTACTCTCTCCTTAATGCCCGCCCCCCTCCTCCTTCGATTGGACAGTCGCGAAAATAGCCGTGAATGAAACGGCCGCGAAAGAAAATCCGATTGGGCACAAAGTGTGCCAATTATCGGCCTGACGTTCCGCGTGGGAAGATGGCGAATGAGCAGCCTTGAGAGGCCAGGAAGGGAAAACTACAATTCCCAGCGTCTTCCGCGGCAGCCCCTTTAAGTTCGCCTTGAAAGCAGGGAGGGGAAAGTTCGTTGGACGTATTATTTTGAGCAGGTCACTAATAAATAATTATACCTAAAATATAGAGCTAGCAAAGATTTTTTTTTGTATAACTGCAGGAAGCCCCTAACCGAAGTACAGTAATTTTTGCAATCTGTGATAAAAAAAAAATCAGATTATAGATGCAGAAACTTTGCTGCACAAAGGAAAGTGAAAGCCAGCACTTTCTGGTTTAATCCTCCCCACAAGATTTCGTTGTATGGGTATACTGTGTATATACTTACAATGACAATAAATTATTATTATTAAGATGTGGGGAATATTCCTCTCCCAGATCCTGGGTAACCTCTCCAGCTCCAGTCTATGGTGCAATCTAGGCATGTGATTTTGGACTACAGTTCCCATAGTCCACTGATTAGGGCAGACAAGCCCCAGCCCAAGAACATCTGGAGGGCCAACAGCCACCCATCCCTGCTTTTTGACCCACATTTCCATTCTGATGGAAGAGGGGAATCCTGCTTCTTCACAGCCAGTATAGAAATCTAAGCCTCTTACCCTGGTAAAAGTTTTTTTATGACTTCTGCCTAGTGTGTTTCAAAGGCAGGATGTGTTACTCCATCTCGCGTCCACCAGCCTGCTGCATTTCTATGCTTATCATGGAGAACAGAAACGATGTGGATTAGTGGAGACAGAATCAAGCCATTCCCCCGCTCCTTCACGAGCTTACTGGTTCGCCTGTCCAGAATTTCTCCTCGCCCAAGGTGATCAGATGAGTTGCTGCATTCAATGCTTCTACCCAAACCAAGATTAAGGGGGTGGGGGGAATAACAGACGCACAGTGTAAAATCTCTGAACTTTATTGAAAAAGCCTTTAAAACAGTCATTTCTCAAATAACCTCCTTTTAAAAGTTCTGAAGCATAACTTGAAAGACAACGTTTAAAAAGACAACGTTTAAAAATACACTTTAAAAGTATCCAAGAGTTTAAAAAAATATCCAGAGATATCCAGAGAGAAACACACTGCATTCTCTAGGATTTAAAAAAAAACAAACTAGCCCTGGATAAAGCAGGAACTCCTGCCAGTGTAGAAAATACAAATATGTTTCAGCAGCTTAATCAGTCCTTGTTAATCTGTCTGCAATGAAGGAATTCTGTCATCAGCGATGTGTTGATTGGGTCAGATGGTGTTTTCTTGATACACACACTGAACGCATTTGTCAAACTTTGTTTAAGAAAACAAGAATGCAGTTGGGTTTTGTTTTTTTGAAAGGTGCTTGTATCTGAGGCAGGAGGAGTGACGCCCCTCACTTTTCCGGCTTCTTTGGCAGCGGCCTTCGGAAAAGCAGGATGTGGGGTTCTGCAGGGAGAGAGGAAATAACATGTGTATTTGTCTTGAAAAGAATACAATGCCTCGTAAGCCGGCCTAGTCTGACGGCCTCAACACATGCCCCAAAATGATGGGTCCTATATCCACACCCTGAATATCTGGGCACCCCTCATGTGCTAAAATGGCCTTCTGAGGTGCGTCTCTCTTTGCTTGGAAATTTCAAGTCTCGAGTCTTCTTTGCTGTGGTGGTGTGCTCAAAAGATAAAATCTGCAACTGACTGGGCTCTGAATTGAGAAGGGAGAGGCTTCTGGAGGTGAAATTTTATACTGACCACGTTCATCAACCCAACAGATGCACAACTGTGGAAAACTGGAAGGAGACTGGATTCTTTTCCAGCCCTAGCTGCAGATGACCTGGTTTTGAAACTAGGACATTCTCGCATCATTGATGAGGCCGTTTCTCTGTCTGGGACATGGAGAAGGCACAAGTCACATAGTCTGCCCCCCCCCGAAATATAAGGGAGGCAGAATATGGCCCAGATTTTATTTCATTTTGCCATATTAACTATGTCTAGAGGGGCAGCTTAAGTAAAACTGGTGAGATAACTGACAGCTGAGACACTGTGCTGAGAGGGCCTTTCTAACTGGTTATTAGCCTGATTCTTTCTATATCCAAAGCAAACATGACAAACCTCCTCATAAATGATACATCTCTAGTCCCTGCACCCTGTTTGCCTCTGACTGTCTGGATCCCAGTAGATCTTTTTCTGGGAAGCTCCAGTCCTATGAGGTTGGAGTCAGGGAACATGTTCACCTCTAGAGCTGCTGGACTGCAATTCTGATCAGTCCAGTCGATAGCAAAGGACAATGGGAGTTGTAGTCTAAAAACATCCAGAAACAGAGTCTGGCCTCTGCGTCTTGGTGTCATTCAATCAACCAGCTTGGCCGTTCTCCACCCATGCCCTAAATCTAAGGCAGACAAGACACGTAAAATTCAGAGAGGGCACAGACTGGAAGAAATGCCACAGCAGAGATTGGGTGGGTGGGGATCTGGTTTCGGATGAGAACTCCTGGAATGTCCCAGCCAGCATGGCCACCGGTGGGGACCGGGGAGCTGTAATCTCAAACAGCAACCTTTTAAATAGACTTCTTATGGTTTGGTTTTGCTTTGGGGGGAGGGGGTCTGCAGTAGCTACTGCGACACGCCTTGCTTCCAGTGTTTCCTGTCACTGCTTCTCCCAGCCTGCAACCCACCTGGCTCGTGAATCATGTAGTGAACCCATCCTTGGCTCTGCTGGACTCCCAGGTTCCGCCACTCTGACTCGGACATGAGATGGGTTTTCGGGACCAGCTTGGCAATGTCCTTGGGCAGCATCACGTGCCTGCAAGCAGCAGGCCAAAAGAGAAAAATGAGCATGCAAGGGAAAGCGAGACAAAACTCTAGGCGCTGTTTGCAAAACCAGTCCTGCTTTGCAAAGTGTGATTGAAACACAGGCACTTCGGATTTCACCATCTGACTCATCAGGGCTTAGAGGCATGTTGGTAAGGCAAAGGATGTAAATATATAGAAGTAGATCTCTATTGTAATGTTAAAATCTTACTCATTAGTGAAACTGGGCCAGAGATTTAGAACAGAGGAAAGAAAGCAATTCGGAACACTGGACATAGTATAGCTTTTGATGCTACGAGACATATTATGGTGTTTGCTGCTACAAGAACATAAGCACTTGCTTATACAACTTTGAAAGGGGATGTGATAAACAAACAAGTTCTACAGTAAGACCCCCTTATCCACAGGATCAGTATCCGCTGATCCACTTATCCATGGACTGAAAATATTAAAAGAAAAATCCCAGAAATATAGATTTTCAACAATGAAGTTGCCAGAACAGGCCACTAGCATTTCTATTATACTAAAGTTTGTTATAATCCATGTTTTTCAGCATCCGGGGGGGGGGGGAAGGGAAATGGGGATACAAAAACTTCCAGATTTTTGGTCAGTATACTACAGAATCACTCCATAGGAGAAGGGAAGCTGTAACTACTCAAATTTGACTTGAAACGAGACTGACATTTTGCAGTATCAACATTGCATAATATAGTTGCTTTTTCTCAGCATCCCCCAGAGTGGGCGTCTCCTTTTTGAACCATAGTTCACATATTTATTTTTAATTAATTTAAATTTTAATGCGGAGGGGGAAATGGTATCCAAAACCGACAACCAAACCACAGCGACTAATCAACCACAAAGAACCCCCAAGAACAAGAAACTAGAAGACAACGTATGGCTTCCAACGCTTTGAATGAACTGTAATCTCTGGAAACTCACATGGAAGGAAATGGGTTAAGCCTTTAAAAGGTTTTCTCTGTGCAAGCAGACCAGACAAGAAAACAACAACAGAGGAAACGAAGAGAAAGATGCTGTCTTTCAGGCGCTACAATGTTTTTGTCTTCTTCCTTTTTTTCTTTTGTTTTGTTTCTTGTCCAATGTGTTTTGAAATGTGAAACCCTGCTTTTGTAGTCTGTTGTGCTGAAACCCAATAGTGCAGGTGAAAAAATTAAGAGGGCTGTGTATCAATAATGCAAAATGACATACACTGTCATTGCATTATTGATACACAGTCTATTTAATTCCGCATCATTCATTTCTAATACTGAATCAATGGAACAGAAGGACCCTTCAGAGTTCTCTAAGGCGATTGGCAAGGCTCAGCAACAGGATTTGGCCCCTTGTTTTCCAGCTTTTGATATGGTGTCTTTTAATATTGTCAGCTGCATTTGGCCCTTTTGAGGAGAAAGGCAGCAGATATTTTTATTTATTATTATTAGTATTTCCAACCTTGCTGTTGTTATCACTACAAATCCACTTCCCATATCTATCTATCTATCTATCTATCTATCTATCTATCTATCTATCTATCTATCTATCTATCTATCTATCTATCTGATTTACACATGCATACATATATGTGTATGCGTATGTAAATAAAGTATATATATGATTGAAAATTACACGCATAGATATTTTATATATAATAATAATAATAATAATAATAATAATAATAATAATAATAATAATAATAATAATAATAATAATAATAATAACAACAACAACAACAACAACAACGACGACGACGACGACGACGACGACGAATATAGATATATATAATAGATAGACATAGATATACACATACAAACATACATAAACATACATTTTAAATAGATACAAATACTGTATATATATTTTCTAACATAGACAGATAATGTATAATATAGAATGTATATATAAAAGGGGCTACGTATTTGTAGCAATAACGGCAGCACGAATTGGAATACTACTAATACTGTAATTAACAGCAATATTTACAACTATTATTATAAACAATCAAATGCAGGCGTAATTTCTAACAATATCTATTATGATTATTAGTGATAATTGATTTTTACTACTGATCTCTTTC